ACTCTTCTTCTTTGATGGTAGTGAGGCAAACCTCTCCCCTCCATTTCTGAGATGACTCATTTTAAACCCACATTACAGTTCCAAGTTTTCACAATTACAATTAAATCTACTAACATCCAAAAGCTGAGTCATTTCATACTATTAGTATCTTTTCTTATAATCTCTTATTCAGACCAGTTAGGAAAAGGCTAGTAGAGATGTATTAAACAATTCACTACACCATACCTTCCTAACATATTAGTTTTATTTTAGCAGCCACTTAAGTAGAACCATAGGTTGTTCGTGATGTATAAGTGGTTTTATGGAGTCCTGCTGTGATGTTATAGGATAAGCACTGAACAACAAGGTCAGTTAGAACAGCGGGGTTGACAGTTCAAACCTACTAGCTGCTCTTCTAAAACTCTATACAGGATCACTAAGACTTGAAACAGACTAGACTGCACTTAACAAACACAACAATTAGTTTGATGCAATGGGCCCTTAGCAAAAACTGATGCAAGACAGGATGGACTCATTCATAAATGCCAAGAAATTTTAAATAACCTACCAGGCCAATAATTAGAAGAGATCCATATTTGTTCCCATCCCAAAAAGAGATGACCTAATAGAATGCAGAAATCATCAGCCAACATCAATTGTATCAGATGCAAGTAAGATTTTGTAAAATATAATTTAAAAAATGGCTGCAACAGTACATTGACAGGGATTCAAGACAGATTCAAATTAGGATAAAGAATGAAGGATATCATTACTGACATCAAATGGATCTTGGTTGAAAACAGAGAATACCAGGAAGATGTTTACCTGTGCTTTATTGACTATACAAAAGTTTTCTACTGTGTGGGCAATGACAAGCTATGGATAACATTGTAGAAAATGAGTATTCTGGAACACTTATTTGTGTTCCTGAGGAATCTGTACATAGATGAAAAGGATTTTTTAAAAACAGAACAAGGGGACACTAAATGTTATAAAATCAGGAAAGATGTCCGTAGCTAGGGTTGCATTCTTTCACCATAATTATTCAATATGAATACTGAGCAAACAATCCTAGAAACTGGATTGTATGAAGAAGAATGAGACATTAGGATTGAAGGAAGACACCTTAGCAACTGGTGGTATGCAGACGATACAGCCTTGCTTGCTGAAAGCAGTAAGGAATTTAAAATATTTACTAATGAAGATCAAAGAGCAGAATTTTTGTTATGAGTTGTACCTCAATGTAAAGAAACAAACTTCTTACCACTACAACAATAAATGATGTTGTGAGAAATAGAGAAATTATTGAAGTTGTCAAAGACTTCTCTTTGCTTGGAATTATCATCAATACTCATGGCAACAACAGTCAAAAAATCAAATGATGTATTCAAAAGGAAAGATGTCAGTTTGAGGACTAAAGTGCACCTGACTAAAGTAGCCAAACAAAATACACAGGTTGTTATAAAGTGTCCACAAGTTGGGTCCCACTCAGAGACCCTTTACAGGGTTTCCAAGGAGCAGCTGGTAGACATGAACTGCTCACCTTACTTTTAGCAGTTCAGTGTTTATCATACAGCACTATATACATAATTGATAAAATTTCCTCATGTGTCATATCCATTAAAATTCACATTCTTAGCAAAGTGTTTTTTAAGTAATAAGAATGTTTCAATAATGCAAATATTATTTATTTGGCCTGCATACTGATTAGTGACTTCATAATCAGGATTCACTGCATTAATTTTGAAGTCAAGATTATGTTCTTTTTAACGGACACAATTCATAGATTGGAGGTGGTAGTGGTTATGAGCCGTGGAGTTGGTTCTGACTCATAGTACCCTGTACCGAGTTTCTGAGGCTGCAAATCTTTATAGGAGCAGAAAGCCTCATCTTTCTCCCATAGAACAGCTGGTTGTTTCAAAGTGTTGACCTTGAGGTTAGCAGCCCAATTTGTATCCACTGTGCTACCAGAGTACATGTTTATCTCTCAAAACATTTTTTAAAAAATGTTTTTATGCTAACTAAGCCACCACCTTTGGTATAGTGGAAGGACCATAAAATATACCAAATTTTACTAAAGAATTGGAATTGCTACAAAGGATTTCAAACAGGAGGTGTGGAATTAAAAAGAAAAAAAAAAAAAAACTGTTGTCATACAGTTGATTAAAGTTTCCACCAAGTATAGCCTTTTGCTTACTTGAAACAGAGGGACATAACATCCATATTTTTGAAATTGTTACCATGTAGAAATATACATTTTCTATTTGTCATATTTATGATTTACCTTAAGAGAGCCTCTTTCTCCAGATTTCAATTTTGTAAATTCCTATATGTCATTTCTATTTTATGTAATCTTTCTCAGGATAGGGAATACACTTGTTTTAGTCTCATTTATTCAAGAAAGAAAAGTTTGACTTATCACATGGTTCTAGTCCTGGAAGTGACAGATGAGAAGAAGGAGAAAATTTTTTATTTAAGTTGATAATCCATGTATGTAAGAGAAATAACGCAATGTCATTTAAGAAAATATCAGCATGCATATTTCACTAATATCTATATGCTGTGTGTCAACTTCTGCATAATTATTCTTTTTACTTTACAATTAATTTGTTTTTGAGAAATTATACTTTAAATTCTCTATATACTTCAGCATGAGGAATTGAGCTTCTCTGGAAAGCAGATTACTTAAATAAAATCATATTCTATCCATGTGTTCATTTGATCAAGATTAATTTTCCTTTTAAACTTGAAACAGAATTGTTTTTATGTCATATGTCATAATTTTCAACTCATTTATAGTTCAACATAAATTAACTTGTCTCTTCTAAAATATCATCAAAATAACTGTAAGGGAAAAAAAATGAACCCAGTGATAAAGCAATGGAAATATACTCATAAATTGATCTTAATGGATTCTGGACGATACATGAAAACATATACATGATTAATGGGAGATATTAGGTAAATATGGAAGCAGAAGAAGATATTGCCATGGTGGTTATGTGCCAAGAAGTTGGGTTTGAATCACAGTGACCCTGCATAGGGTTTCCAAGAGTGTAAAATTTTCCTAGTACAGAAAGCCTCATCTTTCTCCTCCTGAACTTCTGGTAGTTTCTAACTGCTGACCTTGAAATTAGTAACCAGATCTACTACCACTAAGCTACCAGAGCTCCTTAGAAGGAGATATAGATACTTTCACAGGAGATATAGATATCTTAATAATCTTAAAAATAAAACAAACATGGAGCCCATGGGATTGAGAAATGTTATGAAATGATGCGTTGATTGATATTTTACTACAAAAATTCCCTTAGACTTACCTTGATGATCCCAAGAGCTCCTAATCGACTATTATGGGCAGAATTTAAAAATATCTGGGATATTTTTCTACTGAAACCCAAACCGAACATTTTGTCAATGGGACAAAGGGTAGCTTTATGTAAATTGAAAATTGTTAGCCAAGATTTCTACAATGTGGCATTAAAAGGATTCCCAAGATCATAAACTGTTCCACACCTATACATCATTGAACAAAATCTCTTTAAGCAATGTCTTCTAGGTACAGCATTCCTATTCAGCTTTTAACTGCATCCAAAAATTGTGACCATACATCCTAGCACTGCTTAGTGTTAAATGAAAACAAACAAGCAAACAAATAAAAAGAGCCTAAATAAGAAACATAAAAGTTAGCAAGTATTTGTAAATGACACAGTATGTTGAGAACAATTAGGGAAATGTGGAACATTCAAAAATCTCTGGTTTCTATTGGGGTGTGATGCTGTAGAATAAGTACTAGACTAGAAGGTTAGTTTGAACTGCAAGATCGGTGATTCAAACCCACCATTTTCTCCTTAGAAACAATATACAGGGTCCCCATGAGTCAGAACAGACTCAAATGCACTTAACAATAACAAGACATAATATGGATAAACATATAAGATGGTATTATAATCTTTCTAAGGAGCAGCTGGTTAACTTGAACCACCGACCTTGCAGTTCAAACAACTTTGCAGTCTGACGCATTAGCTCACAGTGCCACACTAGGACTCCATTCACTTTATTATTAGGGAAATAAATTTGTCTAAGATATAGGGCAAGAAAATTAGACAGTGATTTTCTCTAATGAAAATAAATCAATATTTACTTCCAGATTGGCACTGAAATTATTTCAAGTGAATAGGCACCTGTTAATGTATGGATACATAAGGCATCGTCTCTCTGCATGATGTCATTCTTTGTTTATAAAATCATCCTGAGCATTTTCAAACACATTTTTAAAGTGTGCATCAGACTTCTGTTTTTTTTAAACAAGTATTCATGGATTTTACAAATGTAGTTATGAGTAAGAAAAACTAGGAGTACCTTGATAGTACAAAATGTTAACCAAAATTTTATAGGTTCCTGTCCATCCACAGCTGACTAGGAAGAAATGTCCATAGATCTATTCCTGAAGCAATGGAGCACAATTTCTACTCTGAAATTCATGGTGCATCAATGAATTGGGTTTGACCTTGATGACAGCTGACTTGTTCATTTGTTCGTATTTAGAAGAGAAAAAACACAAAAAGTGAAAACTTGTTGGTGTATAGCTTATAACCACACATGTGAGCAACAAAAATTAAAGAACACTACTAAATATTAGATATTTTACAGGGAGAGATTTAAAATTAAGAATTTATGGTGGCTGGCAGGTGTCTGCCATCAAATTAGTTCTGACAGACTGTGACCCTTTACAGGATTCTGAGGCTATAAATCTTTATAGGATCAGAAAGTCACATCTTTCCACATAAAACCTGTATTGTCATTATTGTTGAATGCCGTCAAGTCAGTTTCAACCCATAGTGACCCTATAGGATTTCCAAGGAGCATCTGATGAGTTTGAACCACTGACCTTGCTGTTCAAACTGACTTTGCAGTCCAGCACATTGACCCACAGTGCCACACCAAGACTCTATAAGAACATATAGCCAATATAAAGCACTATAAATTTATCTTCCTTCACAAGTTCTTTTTTAAAAAATTTAATCAAGTAACACCCTTCTTGGGAATTCAAAATATCTTTTGTACATTCTGCCAAGGGCACTGTTAATTTCCCTGTTCTTCATACTGTAGATGAGGGGGTTTATAAATGGTGGCAGCATGGTGTAGAAAATAGCTGTCAGAAGATTTTTTAGAGATGTTTTATCTGCAGTCGGACTTAAGGCAGCAATTATTCCAGATACTATAAACAAAAGGAGAATAATCAACTGTGGGGTACAAGTAGATAAGGCCTTGCTACGGGCTTCTGCACTGCGAATCTGAAGCACATTTGAAAATATTTTAATATATGACATAAACATGAAAGCAAAACATGCTAAGCCAATGCCCGTACTTATAAATAAGACCACAGATTCAGAAAACTGAATATCTGAAGATGATATCCTCAAAATTTGTGGTACATCACAGAAATATTGATGGATCACATTGGACTTTGTGAAGGGAAGCCGGAACATGGTGACTGTATGGATGGTAGAAAACAGCAATCCAGTGGTCCATGAGCCACCTGCTGCCTGTGCACACACCTGTGGGGTGACAGTGAGCCCATAGTGCAGGGGATGACAGATGGCAATGTAACGGTCATAAGACATCACAACAAGAAAAGCAAGTTCTGTATATGCGAAGAAAATATACATAAAAATCTGAGCAGCACATTCTTCGAGTAAGATTGATTTTCTACCTGTAAAGGAATTGACAACTGATTTGGGGACACTAACTGAAATATAGCAAAGATCTATGAAAGATAAATTGCCTATAAAAAAGTACATAGGAAAGTGAAGATGTGAATCTGTCACAATAACTGTAATAGTCATAAGATTTCCAGCCAGGGCTCCCAGATAAACCATTAAGAACAGCAGACCTTGTAGGATTTGGAGTTGCCGGGAGTTTGAAATATCCATGAGGAGGAATTCTGTGATGATAGTGAGGTTGCCCAGCCTTACTAATATGCTGCAATATCCCTAGAATCATAGGATGATGTGGTAAAATGAGACTAAAATACAGAAACTTACAATGTCTACAAATAAATAGCAGCTATAGTAGCCTCTATGCAAGAAATCAGGATAGATGAAAACAATGTGTATACTTTTTCCCATTGGATTTTTTACCCAATTGTACTTATATTTTACTTCAGTGCCACATTAGGCTCCTTCAACATGAATAATATCAGATAATTTAAGTCATGAAAGAACTAAAAATTAAATGAAGAACCCACAAAATTATGGCCATTAAGTCACATTTACAATATTTCTGTAAAATAAATTTTAAATTCTGTCTAGCCACAGTCTTTGTTTATTTTCCTTCCATATCAAATAATTATGTTACAATCCTCTGTAAGAGATAGGATTGTTACAAGTTTTAAATTCAGTTTGACTACTCCACAGCTATTTTTGATTCTCTTCATGTGCCATAGAATTAGGATGGCATCTGAAGTTCTGCTTTTAGGGAAGGCTGCCCTGGAAAGTCTTTCTATAAAAAAAAAAAAAACAAAAAAAACTCCTTTATGGCTCTGACTTTCTTCTAAGAATGGTTTTCAACTATATGGAACCACTTAGGTTATGGTTCATCACTCTTTCATTTCCTTTACTCTATAATACATATGTATGGTCAGTTTTTTCTTCCTTTAATGTACCACCTATAAAAGGTTTCTTCTGACTCAGAATCTTATTGGTATCATTTTCCTACTGCTAGTGCTAGTGTGTATTCTGAGTCTCCTTACTACCACTCTACTTTACCTCCTCACATGCACATAGCACCTAAGGTTGGCGAGGTGCAGGGAGGGACTTACTTGAGAATATTCCTTTACAAATCATCCTACCTGCTGTCAGGCATACATTCCAGTATTTAGTGAAGAACTAATATCTGCATTGATTCCATTCCTACTGTTTTTTATTTAGCTTTTGCTGAAGAATCTCCATTCAATAATAACTTAGCTGACATCAGTTTATTTATTTTTGCCTGTCTCAAAGCATTTCAAATAAGAAATAATACTTATTCTTTCACTATTAAAATTATTTTTAGGCGTTCTAATTTCAAGACTTTAATTTTCATCTGTGGAACAGCTGGAGTTGGAAGTTATAACTTTAAAAATGTTAAAATGTTTACTTTTCAGTAATTTTATTGAAATAAAAGCCATTGGCTATTACAATGGTTTATAATTTTGCTACCATATTATGTATTTATAGCAACAATAATAGTAATGTTGGTTTGCCTACCCAGATTTTATTTAATATGACATTTCAGTGGCTTTACAAAATTGTTGTTTTTGTTGCTAAGTACCACCAATTCAGTTCTGACTCACAATGACCCGAGAATAGGGTTTCCAAGGAGAGACTAGAGAGTTTGAATTGTCAACTTTGCAATTGGCTGTCTAGTGCTTATGTTAAAGCACCATATCAGGACTTCTTTGCAAAGTTTTGAATGCTAATCATTTTCTATAACCAATCTTTAGATGTTGTGAGTCTTATTTTATATATTTTCATTTTTGGTCAAGGAAAATACTTTAGGCAGATAATGTATTAACTATCAAAACCAAAATGTGGTCTGATAGCGTAGTGTTTACGAATTGGGCTGCTAACCACAAAGTCAGCAGTTCGAAACTACCAGCTGTTCTGCGTGAGAAAGATGAAGCTTTCTGCTCCCATAAATATTTACAGCCTTGGAAAACCTGTACAGGGTCACTATGAGTCAGAAACAACTCCATGGCACATAACAATAACAACAACATCAAAATCAATATGCAATCACATGTGTTGTTATTGCTACTAGTTCTAGGATCCTTGTTCTAGGTTACTGATGCAAACTAGACTTAAAACTTTTTAAATTTGCTCTGTCTGAAGAAACTCATCCCTAGAAGTCATGTTTTCCATCCTCTGCTATTGCTAGCTGCAACTTTCTCCTTATCTGTGCAAACTCTTAAGATGCCCAATGTCGAAATTACTTATAGCAAAAATCTATGCTAAACATTTCAATAATTCTTTTAATATTTTTTAGGATAACTTTTTATTAAATTCTCCTGTTGCTAAAAATTTCAGTGTGACTTTCATTTGCTTAGAAATATCTTAGTTGATTAATGTGTCACATCTGTACTAATTCATTTCAAGGTTATTTTTGTATTCTTGTATTTTTAATATTTTATGCACAAGCTATGCTTTATACACAGAACTTGAGATGCAATTCAAAAATCTAATAAATAAAAATAAATAGTAGAATGAAAAATATTCTACCTATTTTACTAACATAAATATATGGGACAGATGTGATTTAAGCTAATAATCTTGACACATATCTCTGCTTTTTCAGCTAATTATTCATTAGTAATTTTAAAGAATCTCACAAATTAAAACATGTAATTATACCTGAGAAATGATGTAGCACGCTTATCTTTCTTTACATGAATATTTACTTTACACAATTTAGAGAGACTTGAAAACTCTGTTAGCCTGCCTCTTCACTAAGTAAAACTGCAGTCACTTCTCAGGAGGATTCATGTTTTATTTTTTTAATCATATCAGCACTTCTGTTTCTGCATTCTTAATAATCATGTTTTTCTTAGGAAGGACATATATTGGTCATACCTCTGATAAACCCTAGGGAACTGGTGATTTGTGCTTCCACAGAGGAAAACTCTTCCTAACTTCTGATTCAGAAGTATTCTTTGACTACACTCTTGAGATTCGTTAGGCCTGTAATAATGTTTCTTAGCAATGAATTCACAATTTTTGTTGCTACATTTAGCAAAAGTAAAGTATTTTAAATGTTTCTTAGGTAATTGTGATGCATAGATTCTCAATTGCACTTAAGACTTACTATGAATATATAATTTATTTGCATTACAGTAAATTTAAAAAAATATGCAAAGCTACTGATAAAATTCCATTTCCTTAATATAAGGGAGTAAAATTATTACATGCAAGAAAATAGTACACAGTTTAAAATAATTACCAGAGTTTTAAAACCAACAATTAAACTAGCAAATAAAGAAAATGAAAGGAAATGGGTACTAATCTATGATTAAATTTTTTTTAAATAAAAGAAAGTAATACCAAAAGAGATAGTGATGTAAATGTGATTTTCAAGTCCCTAGTAGGGCTTGAGTCAGATCCTCACACATGATATGGTCATTGCTAAGTTCCATCAAGTGGGTTCCAACTCATAGTGATCCTGTGTAGGGTTTCCAAGGAATGGCTGGTCAATTTGAACTGACATTGTTGTGGTTCAAACCAATCTTGTGGTTGAGTGCTTATCACACAATGGTATGTGACTAGTACTGTAGATGACCCTGAGAATGTTAAGACCCCCCCCATAAGGAGTTATTAGGAAAGAAACCAATTTCACATTCTTTGAAGTAACTCATTAGTAGCTTCCAATCTGTAGAGAAAAAAACCTGAATGAGAGGCTAAGAATCTGTGAGAAAAGTCTACAAATAAAAGCACAAGAGTTGAGATTCTTCTTACTCTCTCATATACAGGAATGTTGTTGGTGGTGTTGTTGTTAAGTGTTGTCAAGTCTGTTTGGACTCACAGCAACTCTGAATAGGTTTTCCTAGGAGTGGCTAGCAATACCATCTGGGAATATTACCAGAATTTGTTGAGTAGAGATAAAAAGCACCACTGTTGTGTCAGATTTCCTTACTGTGGTGGCTTCTGGGTTTCTATGATGCTAGAAACTGTGCCACTGGTATCAAGTACCCGTAGGGTCACCCATAGCGGACAGGTTTCATTTGACACTTCCAGACTGAGACAGACTAGGAAAAAGGAGATAGGGAAAACTTTGGAATGGTTGCACACTGAAAACCTAATTAATAGCAGTATAATATTATATGATAAATGAGCCTATTTTGTTGGAAGGCACTCAAAATAAAACTGGGAAGGATTGTCTCCTCAAAGCAGAGTTTACCTTAATAACATAGATAGAGCAAAGCTTTAAGACTATCTTGATGATGGGACACAACTCAAAATGGGAAGAAGCATATGCAAACACCTATTAATAATTAGAACATGGAAGATACAAAGTATGAATCTTGGAAAATTGGGAAGCATCAAAAAATAAAATGGAATGTATAAATATCAATAACCTATACATTAATGAGTCGATATGGATTGGTACCAGCCATTTTGAATCAGACAATAACGAGGTTTACTCTTCCAAGAAAGAGAAATTGAAGAGGAATGATGTCACATTCATTGTCAAAAAAGAACATTTCAATGTCAGTCTTGAAATATATTGCTGTCTGTAATAGCAAAATATTCATAAAATATACAAATGACCAGATATTACAACCATTATTCAGTTGATACTGAAGGAGGAAGTCCAAGGTGCATTGAAGGAATTGGCAAAGAACAAGGCACCAGGAATTGATGAAATAAAAATTGAAAACTTTCAAGAAAGTGAGGCGGCACAGGAGGAACTCACTCATCTCTGCCAAGAAATTTGAAAGAAAACTATCTGGCCGACTGATTGGAAGAGATTCAAATTTGTGCCCATTCCAAAGAGAAGTGACCCAATGGAATGTGGAAATCATTGGACAATCTCTTTGATATGACATGTGAGTAAAGTTTTACTAAAGTTAGTACAGAAATGGCTGCAAGCATACTTTGACAGAGAACTTCGAAAGGTTCAAGCCGGATTAAGAAGAGGCCATGGAACAAGGGATATCATTGCTGATGTCCAATGGATCTTCGCTAAATCAGAGAATATCAGAAAGATGTTTACCTGTAATTTATTGACTATGCAAAGGCTTTCAATTGTGTGTTTCTTGACAAGATATGGATAACATCGCAAAGCATGAGTATTCTAAAACACTTAGTTGTGCTCATGAGGAATCTGTACATGGACCAGTGGTTCAAACAGAACATGGGAACACTGAATGTTTTAAAATTAAGAAAGGCGTGTGACATGG